GGATGTGACTGTGAGGGTTTTTCCAACACACCAATACTGAGCACTTCGTGGGGCCTTTCGGATATGCTGCAGCTTGTTGCATCATCTTGTTCTGTCACAACATAACTGATTCTAGTAAAAAACAGCCAAACTTTGGTTTAGATTTTGTCTCTTTTTAAGCACTTCCTTGAGTCCTTCCTCTTTGTTATTTTCCTTTGTTTTCTTAAAAGGGGAAAACCAGCATCATACAAGTCTAGAGTTCTCTTTAGGGAGGAAGAGAGATCAGAGGGGAGGGTGGGCAACACTCCTGCCCAGACTCCTACTATCCTCTCCAGCCCGAGGGACCCCATGTTGCTCACCAGCCGAATTCCCTTGGGAGTGTTTTCAATCCCTCTCTGCTTTTCCTCTCTTGAATTACGAACTTGCTTAGATTGCTAACGCATGAGTGCCAGCAAGACCATTCCCATTCATTTCCACAGCTTTTACAAATATTATAACATGATTCGTGTTTAAACATAAGTGTCACCGTTTTATTTTTTATTATGAATATCATATGCTTGGCAAGCTGTCTGACCTTCCTTATGATGACGAATGCTGCAACAATTTGCTGTATCCTTAAAGAAATGGCCAATTCAATTACATTATGCCAGAAGCTCTCCAATCCCTCTCTGCCAAATGGCTTTGCTGTATCCTGCCACAGACAGCCCATTTGTATTCCAGCACAGTAGGACACTTGTTTTATTGAAGCGCTCAGCTCTAGCTAGGTGCTGTCCACAGAGCGACTTCAGTTCCGCGGCTCTCGCCTTGGCTCCTCGCATTTGCAATGTGACTGACCAAACGTGTGCGCGCTACTAATTACGGGCATGCAAGCCCGCAGTTAGCGACTGCTACAACAAAATACATTAGTGACCAATTACTGGAGTCCTTGGCAGCAGTGGTTATCATTTTAGTGGATTTAATCATTGCACTTAAAGGGAAGCTTGAGATTCCCTTTGAGATTACACCACTAATTGCTTCTGTTTTGCCAGTTGCTGCATGAGCTGTTTTGCAAGAAGGATCACTATAGATGCTTCCTAAATGTGAAAAAGCAATGAACAGACAGATCAAGCATCCTGTAATGAGTTGTCCCATCACCCTCCCAAAAAAACACTATAAATTCATTCACAGCACAACGCACTGCTACGCACAGCACCCCGGTCATCCCTCTTCCCTTCTCCTTTTTTGATATTTGGGCAGACAACAGCAGTGCAACCACATTCTGTTCTTGCTTAGTGTTGGGTGTTGTAGACATACTACCCTTTGAATATACAGATAATGACAATATTGCACCTGTTAAAAAAGAAAATCCTTCCTCCACGCCTTTTCCTTGCTTGAAGAGGAGATAATACTTATTATATTTATTATGACAAAATGTTTCAATGCTGTTAGACCTAGGGAATAATTAATAAATAAATAAAAAATGAGGCTACGCACATGATTTATTACACTCACAGCATCACCATAATAGGCTTCCACTCTCCAGGAATCCCCCAAAACAAGCCCTCCCCCTCTAAAGGAATTTGTAATATAACATCTTTTTCTTTAAAAGCTGGCGTCTATCTCCACATGCCCAACAGTGATGAATTACCTGGTTTACAGCCTCATAAAGCAGAAGTGTCTATATATTTTAATGCTGAGGCCAACCATGGGACTTTTGTACCTTTCAGATGAAGTGATATACAACTTTCCAAACACCAATGAAAAGCTGTGACACTTTGCTTCAGGCAACAGAAGGAAGGACATATAATTTCATTAACATTTTAGGTCAGATCGAAATAAGTTGTCTTCTAGAAACAGAAAGCAAAGGGCAAATTGCAACCACAGTTAGTTGTCTCAGAAAAAAAAAGGTATTTTAATAGATAAAAATTCTTTAAATAAATGCATTTGGTTCCTTTTCATTAAAATTTCAGTTATTTAAACTTCACAAAATTCAGATGCCACATTCCCAACCACAAATACCTCCCCTCATTTTATTTTAGATAAGCATGAAATAAAAAATATAAATGTAATAAATTTATACGTAATATATAAATATAGTAAAAGAGAAAACCTCTCAACCTCTCATAAAATTTCTCTTAAGATTAGAAGACCTTCTAGAATTGCCTCATCATACATCAGTGTTTTTAGGTTTTCAGTAGATTCTCAGCTGATAGAGGTCTAGTTACAAAATTAATCTACTTCCATGGCAGAAAGATTGTAGAGAAACAAGTTTTAAATCCCCAGGGAATACCAGACGAGTTTTTACATTAAGGTAACAACAGAATGTGTGATACTTTTCAAAACGGTCATGATCCCTGAATATAATTCACAAAGTTAACAACAACTGCCCTGAAATTAACTAAGTGCAAAAGGAAATTACAGAGCTCTGTCTTCCTAGAGGGTCTCCAGGCCGTATGAGTGGTGCGCGCTGGCTTCACCTCCGCGTAGCAGCTAAGGAGGTGAGCGGTGTCCCCAGCCCCTGCGCAGCAGCGCAGCCCAGAGAGCCCCAGCACCAGCGCCATTTGTGTCGCTCCACACGGGGACAGAGGCTGTCACAAAACTCACATCTTGCCAGAACAACCCCCCGAGAACCGCTGCCCGCAGGATGCCTTCAAAGACACGGCTGCTTCAGCGCTCAGCCTCGGCTGAGAAAATCTGGGCCCAGGGCACTCAATTTTAGTTCTGAACTGGGGAAAAAATATGTGCAAGATACAGTAATTACAAATAACTGGCAAATAATAAATTGGATGAAACACCTGAATTATTGTAGAGCTCAAACTTGTGTTCATAAAGGAATGGACTACACAATTTAATTGGATTATCTCCACTTCTCAGTTCAATAGTTCCTAAATTCTGCCTTCCTCCAACAATTAAGGACAATGTTCCAGGAAAAGGAAACATAACACGGACTCGACTTCTGCTTCAAGGCAGGACACACTACACTTGCATATATTTGAGCTGAGCTGAATGAACATCTTTCTTTAGTATGAGCAGGCTTCTTTACTCATATAAACAAGCACAAAATTGAAATTGTAATTCCAAAGAAATTGCAATTGCACCTGGAATTTCTAGGGCTACCTTCCGAATGAAAAAAACAGGAACAAAGCAGAGAAAAACATTCTTGAAATGAACGGCTGAACTTATGTAGGGCCTAAAATACAAAAGGTCAGGAAATACCTGTCTTTCATCACTGTCAAAAGCAATAGACCAAAATATGCAGAGTAGGACTGATAACACAGGAAATAAATGAAAACATTTGCTGTGCATTAGTGTAAAAGTTAACAGAAACAAGGGAAAAAATTCTGTCAGAGGTCCCTGCTGGATTTACAACAGAGCTGCTGAGCCAATTGTGATTTAAAAGCATGCTATCAGCATGAAGAACAGAGAATTTCTATCCTCTAATAGGGCTGACACCTGTTCACAAGTCCACGGAGGGCCGTACCGCAGGCCAGCGCGCGCAGCGAGGGCTGGCGCGGCACCGCAGCCCGAACGGCCACTACGGAGGGGATCACGTGGGGAGGCAACCCATCACCTCGGGTACAGCCTCGGGCGCTCAGCATGGGATTCACGCTCACTTGCAAATCCCAGATGTTTAAAATACTTCTTAGAAATGGTAATGATAAATGCTGATATGATTCACTTGTAGGATGATTTTAAAAGCTTATATGTGTATAGCTTTCATGGCCTCACATATCTTAAGTTACATGTTTAATTCCCCTTAGTATCACAAGCAACTGAAGAGACACCATTTTTTTCTGCCTATCGGTTCATTGCAAAGAGAGAAAAGGCAGATAGTGCAGCAAAATGAAACATGCCTTCCTACACAGTGATATGACAGACATCAATTTATGAGCTCATTCATTCAGTACAAGAATATGATTATACCATGACAAAGACTTGGAATAAAATGCACTGATAAGTTTAGATCAGATTGAGAGTGATTCTCAACTGAGATGTAGAGCTTGTAGAGTTTATTGTAAATACAAGTAACAATATTCACTTTACTCTGAAACCTTCCAGAACTAAATCTTTTAATGAGATAAATCCCAGCAGGAAGAAAGACCCAGCTCTGACAATTGTTTCAGAAAACTCAATTAACTTTGCATGTCATTAAAAACACAGTACAAACAGAAATAAGTTTAGTGCTACAGTGTACTTATCTATTCATTGAAATTACATGTATTTCATATGTGAATATACATGATTAAATAAATAGATTAATTATACAACAAGTTACCTTTTTCACATCTAAAATAATTTACTGTAACCAGAAGAGTACTTGGATTGCCAGGAAAGGTAAAGTTAGGTGGACGGCCAGTATTGCTGGAAAAAAAACCACCTTTTCCTGCCTTTTAAGCAATCTTCGTAGGATGGGTTTGGGGTTGGTGGAGTCCTTCAAAAGTATAGAAAGGTCTTCTATATGGCCCAACCAAGCTGACAAGAAGAGACTATCCTGGTCCTATATTACTGGGAACTACTGCACCTGCGACAACAGCCCTTGTCCCCAACAAGGTCAATCAGCCTCCATCATTTGCAGGCAGCCGCACAGGGCCATCGCGAGGTCCTCCTCCTGGCCTCCCTCTCCCACCATCTCACGCTTAACTTTGCCTATTTGTAAGACTTCGGTCCTTCTAAATCTCAGTCCCTCCTTATGGTTGCAAACTGACAAGATTCAATTTAATTTTAAGAAATGAAGATGTCCCTCAAATTCATCATTTAGTCTCAAATAAAGGCAACAGTAAAACACCATATTACCAAGAAGGCTTGCACACAATGAACCTTTAAGGTTATGTTGAGAGTAGCAATAAAAAGCAAATCTTCTTTAAAGCAGGGAAAGTTACAGGCAAAATTTCATTTAGCTAATCCTGATATTCCTCGTCTTTTCAATCTAAAACCCAAAGTATTGTCTCAATTTCCAGTCTGCAATTAGGCAAGGAGAAGCTGAAAAATATTCAACAGTTTTAACTTTCTGAAAGTAGATTTCCAGCTAATCATTTACTTACTCAGGTGCAAGTACTGCCAAGCTTCCCAGCTTCCCCCAGATGTTCCTTTCAGGCCAGTTTTATCGGTAGGTACCTGCATACAAAATAAATTAAATAAATAAAATAATTTTATAGAACTCTTATTATATTCATTTTTGATTCATCTCTCAAACTGCCAGAATAAGTTAAAAGCTTTCTTTCTCTTTTCTTTCTCTGCAACAAGATTGTTCTTTCTTTGACCATTTCTACATTCTTTTCTACACTTTTTTTTTTTTTCCAGACTCAGGACAATCTTAAATGAGTCTTCTCTGAGAAATCTCATCTAAGTTCGCCCTAGGAGAAGGTGGCAGTGCAAGCAGAAAGCAAGGCTTTTATGGGTTTGTTAGTCACAGCCTTAAGCTGCGTAAAAGTGGTCATCTGCAGTCACCACTTTGGAACCTGACAGGTGGTCTGCGTGCAGGTGCACTGCCTCTTAGTTAAGGAGGAACTCAAAAAAAGGAGTTATTCTGCTTTCTCCTGGCACGAGTGTGAATTAAAGAAGCGTTTCCAAAACATGCTATGCAACCATGTGCAATCCGTTTTTGCAGGCATATGGCACTCCAATTACATAAGTGTGGCTTAGCTGTCACAAAAGTCCACCTGCACATAGTCAAACTTTCCTATTTCAATGAGTCCATCTAATTTAGACTAGTCCACCTCAAAATAAAAGACTGGAAAAACAATGTGTTTGGTAACCCACAGCACCTGGAACTATTCAAATAGTAATTACTTTTGATCATGGTCAGAACATAAGCAAATTGGAAAGAGCAAAAGATGGAATTACCTTCTCAAAAAATAATTAAAAATGCATCAGGTCAGCAGAAAATTATCTTTAGTATTCTACTTGAAGCAGGTAAATATATAACTAAAAATGTAAGCCAGATAATTTTTTTGCAATAGAATAGATTAAGAATTAGTGGAAATTGAAAAACTGACTGCAAATACGCTTCCTAGTTTAAAGTTTTAGTTGCACATTGGGCATCCAGATTTTCCCAGGACAAATATATGGAAAGCATGCATTAAAAAGAAAGAAAAAAAACCAAGCTATATATAAACACTAATGTTCTTCCCCATATAAAATGTTATAATAACATATAAAATAAGAAAGGTGCCACACTGATAAGAGTGGAAACATAACATTTAAAATAAGCACTTGAGAAGTCGCATTCTTATATACTTTTTCTAAACATTCGAAGTTAATTGGGTTGATGACATCCAATTTTTTCCATAAAAGCCCTTCTCATGCAGTGAGCAGAGAAGGTAGAACAAAGCACGGAAGAGCTACACATGAAGTGACCTGCACCAAGTCCCAGCCCAGCTTTACGATTTCTGTCTTCCCGGTGGCTGTGGGGCTTCCAGGACGCTGCTTCCCACACGCAGGCCCCAGCACTGCCAGGTCGCGGGCCAAAGGCGCCGGCTGCCCTGCGGCTCTGCCATGCGGTGCCCGCAGAGGGGAAACGCAAGAGAGGAGACCTTTGAATTATAAACATGACAAATGTAGGTGTCTGAGACGCCCAAACCTCATTTTCCAAGTGTGCCTACCATTCTACCATACCTTTATTCTCTAGTAAAACTGCATTCACTTATCTAACCACTCAACAGCTAAGCAAATCTTCAATTTTTTGCAGCATTTTGTTCCATTCACGACCTAACCTACAGTTTCTACAACAAATCAAAGCAACTTTTCAAAGACCCGTCTCCTCTGCTGTATGGTCTTCAGAGACCATAAAGTTCTGAGATTATATAATTTAAAACTATATCATAACACACACGTGCAAGGGAGCTCAGTTAAAACATTCTGGGCAAACCTTAATTCTTCACTTCCCTAGCTTTGCAGTGCTTGCCTTTGGAATGGCAGTAACATTCTTCAAGGCACTTTTCGAGCTCACTTTAATTGCCAGCTCTTTTAAAGAAACTGGACAGGCATTTCATCTTATTGAATCCAGACACCCAGAGCCTCCCCCAGCACTTGACCGACTGTTCTTCTCCAACCCGTATCGGTGCCAGGGCTCCACTTCCCCCATCACTGTCTGTCTCCCTGCCATCAAGCTCGGTCTTCTCGTATTTCTGGTCCCAGTCCTTCCTCCCTATCCCTGCAGGGCAACTGCTTCCATCTCATGGAGCGTGTCCTGCTCCATATTGCTCAGCCCCCTCAGCCGCCCCACACCTGCCTATCCCACTGCTGACTTTCGACTTTCTCCCGCCGCTTCCCCAGGCCTCCTCCCTGCTCCCACGGGTCCGGCCGCACGATCAGTGTGTCTCCTTTCCAGGGACGGGCGTTGAACACACCTGTAGAGGGGATCACATGCAGGAACACTTCGCTGGTGGATCCCAGAAGGGCTGAGGCAGAAGACAAGCCAGAACAGCAGTTTGGCCCTTCTCACCCAGGAAAAGTGGGATTTGGGCCACTTACATCACACACTACTGAAAAATCTGACACCTGAGCATTCAGATGTCAAGGCAGCTAAGTGCAGGTTTTGTCAAGACTGAAGAACCCACAACCCACTTTAGATTAACACTAACTACTCCTTTAAATTAAAGCAAAATAACACAATTTAGTACCAGCCAGCACTGCACGTTATCAGGCTCAGATATACATTCCATGGACCAGCCACTGTTCCCACAGAAAGTCAGATGGAGTCTCAATCTTCAGTAAAAAACCCACTCAGTTAATACCAGTATTTTGAGCCATGCTTTCTGAAGGCAAAACCCTTGATTCCGTCACGTACAATAAATATGCGGGGGGCACGGAGGGGAGGGAGAGAGGTTTAATAGTTTTTAAATTGAGTGGCATTTTCACCGCTCTGTTTAGCAAGGAGAAGCGTGCTTAACTTCAGCCTGCTGCAAGAAAGGGGACAAGAGCAAACCAACATCCCTTTGGGGCAGAAAGCTCAAACCAACTAGAGACACCTTCCTGTCTTGTCTCCAACTTCCACCTTACCTACCCATTTCTTTTAAGGGAGAAAAGAGGGGGTAAAAGGGAGTTAAATCTGTATTTAAGATTGTTTTGTACATTGGGGAGAGGCTGATTCACCCAGCATGCAAAATAATGCAGCAAATTAGATGACATTTGATAATCATATTGCATGAGTCCTATTTTTAAAAATAACATTTAAAATATTTGAATTGTTATCAATAAAGTTTGATATAAATAATTTGGACTACACCAATACAACCAGAAGTCAGAACTACATAATAAATTCAAACATGATGAGAATTTGCATTAAGAACATTCTTCCCACCTTTGAATACCTAGAAATAGCTCTTGGGATTACCCCACAACTTGCAGATTAATAGTAACCATTATTTGTAACAGGCACCTTTTTTTAAGAAAAGCTTTAATACAGATTACTGCAGAATAGATGATCTCTGCTTCTTGTTATCAGTCAAAACCAGCAACTAGCCCTCAAATTTTTCCTAGTATTCATTTCCTACTATGAATATCCTAAACCTGTCAGACCTCCCACTAATTTCTCTTTTTACCTCATTTTTTCCTTTCCTGTATTTTACAAATCTTCCCATCTCACACAACTCCTCTTCTTCCATTTATCTCCCAGGGTTTGCTGCTTCCTTCACAGGTATTTCAAGTCCCTCATGGGGATGTGGGACTGCAAACAAAAAATTTTACCCAGTTGTCCGAAGGCAGCTTTATCCAATTCTTCCTCCTGACCAGTCTATAGCAGACACCACTGCAATATCGCCTGCTAATCCCGACCCAAAGGCTGCCGGGTGCCCCTCCGCTGTTCCCAGGCAGAGCTCCATGCCTTCTGTCTCCTAAAGGACAACTCTCCCTCCCTGCCTGTGCTTCGCAAAGGCCTTGGATCCACCCACCACAGCACTCCAGGCGTGTGAGCTCTCCCACCCCTCCTCCCGGACCCCATGACAGCCCTGGAGCTGCACACGGACTCCCGCGCCTCCTGGTTGTTGCCTGGGCTGTGTGTTAGTGCCCGGGCACTTCCGAGGAGCACTCGGGCCTAGCAGGACACAAGGGCTTTACCCTTATGTGGTCCCATACGTACTTCCTTACTTACATGTATGCGCCTGGGGACAATTACAATTCAACACTGTTTGGTCCATCCAGAGGTCCCTGCTGTTTGCATTACCCTCCACTCAACTCTTTTTTACCCCCCACCCTGCCCACTACTTTATTTAATCACTGATCATTCTCTCCCTCCTTTCTCATTCATAGTTTAAAGAGCTCTTTACCAGGTTGGACAGCCTGTTGGCACAGATACTCTTGCTCTGCTTTGAAAGGTGGATCCCATCCCTAGCAAGAAGCTGGCAGTCCTTCAAGAGGGTCCTGTGGTCACAGAAACCAAAACCCTGTTGTCAAGACCAGCTGCACAACCACTTTTTGACCCAGGATCGTTCAGGCGTTCTCAGATCCTTTTCACTCACCAGCAGGATCTAGGAGAACTTCCCCTGTGCCCCCATTCTCCCATATCCCCAGAACCACATGGCCAGGCTTGATACCTTCCCAGTCCATCCTGGCAGTATCACTGGTGTCCACAAGTCCACACGGAAGAAGAACAGGGTGTAACAGCCCTTGGCCAGACCTGCCTCAGCAGCTCCTCCACAACAGCCTGCACGTCACCCCCAGCAAGCTGCAAAGCTTCCTAAAATGCAGGACAGAGCAGCAGATGGGGGCCCCTGCAGCAACTCCCCACTGACACACTTGCCCCTTCGAAGCTCTGGGTGATCCTGGGTGCTCTGCAGCTCCCAGGGCAGGGAGCCTTGTGCAAAGCTGCAAGTATTCCAGCGGAGCAGGAGCCTCCTCCCGCTGCCAGAAGCCACCAGCTTCCAGCCCCCAGGAGTTGCTCTTTGCTGGGCTGACAGCACCAACTCTGCTGCCTCTTCTGCCACGGATGGAGGTCGGACTCCTGAAGCTTCAGTGTCTCAGAGAAGATCCAGCCTCTTTCTCACAGTCTCTGATGCTACACCTCCTCCCACAGTAATAATTAGATAATAATTAGTGAGAATACAAATCAGGACTGAAGTATCACAGTATACAAGGGTGAACCTAAAAGAAAACGTCTACGTTTGTATAAACTGAAG